ATATATATATATATATATATATATATATATATATATATAAACAATATAGTTTTAAGGTATGCTATATTTATAGGGTAAAAATACACAATATCAGGGATAGAGTTTGTGTAAGTAAAAGTATGACACTGATGTCAACACCAAATGGTGATGGTCTGTTTCATGTTTCAATGGCCTGAAGATTATGTTCAAGCAGGAACAAAATAAAAAAAAAAAACCCCAAAAAACTGTAGGTGTTGACATCAGTGTCCACACTTTTTATATACTCCAAACTTCTTAATTTTGTTATGGTTTGATGAAAAATATTTTAAAAAGTAATCTTACCGAAGTTAATCAGCATACGCTCACAAAAATTTGAATCTACAAATTGGGGTCAAGTATGGATTTATTCTTTTTTCTTCTTCTTCCTCTTAATTTTAAACTATTTAGGTAAAGAATTCATTAGGAAGAAAATTTATTGAATCAATCATTCATTTGAGATGTTTGCGTACTGGAAAATGTCTTTGAAAAAAGATTTACATTACTTAAACATATTGCAATCATCTACATTTTCATTATCTGCTATAAAATTAAAAAAAAAAAAAAAGAAAAAAAGTCTTTTAGCTTGTATATGTAAATTCAATTGAAGTAACTTTCAGCATGTAAATTATTATTTTTGAATTAAAATATGAAACAATAATAAAAATCTATAGTTAAGAAACCCACAAGAGACTTTGGTGATATTTCTGGATCTTTCCCAAGGGAATCAACAAAGCCAGATCAACTATATATATATATATATATATATATATATATATATATATATATATATATATATATACACACACACAAGACTACAAATTATAAGTTATAAGGGCACATTTAATAAACTTTTATTAACAAAAAAAAAAGAAAGAAAAAAAAGAAAATATTTGAAATTTCTTGTATTTGCATCAGTAAATACTTCAGATCATTTTGTACTCAAGAATGGTTGTTGTTTTCAATATACATTTTAAAGTACAAATTTACGAATGTCACTCCAATTAAAAAAAAGAACATAATTCTTTACATAGAAAGTACTTTAAGGGATTACTAATAAATATATTACCAACTATAAACATATGTCAAAAACATTACATCACCAACTTTTATTGAATCCATTCTTAAAGAATCTAATGCATGTTTATCTAAAACAAATGGTGTGTACATAAAAATGTTCCCAAATCAATATGCAGAAAACCACCAAACATAATGTCTACTAGACATACACACCCACCCACTTACGAATATACATTATCATCTGAATCCCACATAGACAAACTAGAATTATTATACACTTGTATACAAAAAACAATATTTACAGTTTTTTTCAGGTAGGCTTGGAATTTGTAACTTCTTGGATACTTTGAAAGGACACGTCATCTCTCCTTGAATTTGGAACACCATAAATTATACTAACATTTATTTTACAAGTCGAATGCACATGAAACTTGATTGAAGCCAATAAAAATCAAACTAAAACAAAAATAAAAATACCAGAATTTCTTTCTTTTTCTCCTGATCTTTTTCTGAAGAAATTTTAATAAAAGTGAAACATGTTAGATTAATAAATGTTTCCTATTTGTTCTTTATCTTATTTAAACATGAATTAACCTACTTGATGCTGCTGAAGATAAAGTTACTGTTTGAAAACCAAATTAACAGAAAGTGAAATTAGTAACCATAACAGTCTTTCAGAACAGAACGTGAGAACAACAGCAATCAACAACAACAAGAGACATGCAAAGCACAAAAGAAATGCAGAAGAGACCATGTTTTAGAGCATGAATCATTTCCATAATGAATAAGAGAAGAATTAATTGTTCTGCATAACACTTCAAAAAGGTTTATTAAAAACCTTCATTACAAAAGAAGAAGAAAAAAAAAAAAGATTTTTAGTCTGATGCAGTCATGCATAAAATATCTGCATTTGGCATATAAAGTCAGAAAAGGACAGCAGTATATTATTGATTAAGATGAATAGGGGAGTGAATAGGAAATGAACAATATGATAGAAAATTAACAGTGGTCACAAAGAGGTATTATTAGAGCAGAGGACAAAAGCACTCCTTAACGGAATGATTATCTGATTTGGATTTAAAAAAAAAAAAAAAAAAAAAAAAAAAAAAGAACAAAGAAAAGCAATGATGTCAAATCATAAGAATTATTATATAATTTTGAGTTATGTTCAGGATGAAAACAATAGGTCATTTGTTGCAATTGGTGCTTAAGAGGAAATATGGCACGTGTGAATAAATGAGTGTGTTTTTTATTTGGTGGTGGTGGTGATGGGGGTCATTTAAGTTCATTTTCACACGCTGTTTGATGTTCTACTCGACTAGCTCAGTGTTTATGTAGCCAACAGGTCAAGTGCATGTTATTGTGAGACTGACTAAAGATAGTGTAAAGTTTGGTATTTGTGAAAGGAGGCATTGTAAGCATTTATGAGAAGTTTTTCACTCTAAGTTTCTTTTCAGCACATTTTGGTATATTTTGTTATTTTAATTACCATGTGACAAATTTGTTTTCTGAGAATTATATATATATATATATATATATATATATATATATAAATAATACCACACAAAGAGTGTTGGTAATGATAATTTAACAATGCTAAAATTTAATACTAAGAATAATTATATATTTGTTCCTCTGCTTGATGCTACTTGGAGTTTCATGCATATAGCAATTGTCAAGCACAAACTAAAACTGTCTGACCTGACACTTCTTTATTTATAGGCTCCTGGCAAGATAACGGAGTAGTTCATTTTCATGTGGGAAAAATAAATGGGTAAAAAATAAAATAAAAATAAAAGGCAAACAGAAAAAAATAAATAAATATAAATAAAATAATAAATATTTTCCATTTACCTTTATTTTTTATCTATTCATTTATTTTTACCACATGAAAATGGACTACTATATTATCCTGCCAGTAATCTATAAATAACAAAGTGTCAGGTCAGACAGTTTTAATTTGTGCCTGATGATTGTTACAAGCATGAAACTTTGAATAGCATCCAGCAGTGAGGAACAAATATATAATTATTTTTAGTATATATTGCTTTAAAAATTAGTATAGGGTAAACTTCATATTTGAAATAGTATGTAGATGTAATACACTATAATAACGTATGAATTAAAAAAAAAAAAAAGGTCAGATTAAAGGAAGCTCCATTAATCCTTTAAAAATTTCTTTGTTTACTTTTCAGTTACAAAACTGAGCAAATATGAAAATTTCAAGAAAATAATCTGGGTGAAGATGATGGCACTTTCTGGGGGGCACAGAACCTTGCTTGATATGATGTTCTTCATGGCTGAGTGGTAAAGCACACTGGATTAAACAGTAGTTTCCTCTACAAAAGGAAATGCATTTCTTTACTAGGATTTATCAAGTGCACAGACCAATAAATGTAACACACACTGTTTAATAAATAAAAATAGGGTGTCTATTTCAAATATGAAGTAGACATTATAATAATATTTATGGTAATAAAAATGTTGGATTAAAGATAGATCCAGTAATTATTATTTTATATATAGCCTAAATGTTATTTTTAGTGGATAACTATATTTGAGTAAATGTTCCTTTAAAGAAAATGCGCCCTCCAAACCATCAATCCCTTTTGCAGGATAAACAGTTGTTTGATTTGTTTAAATTATGCTTTAAAGACAAATAGAATGTGGCTTGATTATGGAGCTCTTTGTAGCTGAGTGATCAAAGTATGTCAGATCAAATAATGGTTTCTCCTGCAAACGGGGATAGAGAGCACTTTTCTTTTCTTTTTTTAATTAAAATTTATTGAATTCCGATAGCCAAAATAAAGTTCTGTTTATAATAAACAGACCATCTGCTCAAATATGGGTTTCCACTAAAAACAATGTTTAGGGTAATAAAAATATATATATTTTTATTATCTTAATTTTTTTAATTATATACAAGTACAAGAGAAAGCAGCATCTATTTTCAAGTAAAAAAAAAAAAAAAAAAAAACAGTTGGTTATTAGTTATTTATTACAGTCAAGCTAATTCCTTACCAGACAACAGCTTTGTGGAAAAATATCCTGTGTTGGGGTCAAAAAAAGAGTTTTAACACTTCATTGGTTATGAGGTAACCAAACAAACCACCAATGCAGTATGTGGCTTGAACATGATTAGAGAACATACCAATTGATATACTGCGTGAGGGGTTAAAAGAAGGAGAAAATAGTTAAAAAAGAAAAAAAAAAAAAAAAAAAAAAAGGGGGGGGCAGAGAATACTCATAAAGGCTAGTGAGTGTTTCTCAATGTGTAAATATGTGTTTCATTTGTATGGCTATAACAGTGCTGACCCAACCAAGACAGGTTGGTGGGAGGTGGAAGACCAATTTTATAGTGTCAATGAGTGCAATGCCGAGGCTCCCCATGCATGCCCCAGCAGCTAGAGTTAGTACTGACCTTTAGGGGACGGCCCAGGCTTGTTGGCCGACGGGGAGTTTTTTTTCTATTTTTCATAAAAAAATTTTTCTGATCCAACTTCAAAATAGAATGAAAAATCTATTAGGAAAGAAAGAGAGAAGTCAAGTGTTTTTGTTTGTAATGCACCCCACCATTCATTCATTTGCATTTTTGCTGTTTTAATTGGGAATTAAGAAAATAAATTGAAAAACGCTAGAAAACAAAAAGGACAAGGATTAGTAGGAAGTTTAATATGTGGTGGAATATAGATAACTTAAAAATGTTATTTGTTTCAGAAATGAGGTTTTTTGATTAGTTTCATTCAAATTTAGTGTAAAGAAAATAAAAACCAAAGAAAAAACAGAAATTTGGTTAACAGAAAACTACATGATACTCTTTGAAAGAAACAACTACATTAAATAATATCCTTGACAAGTTCACCAAATGGTACACACATGATGACAGACCGCCTACTTCTTATTTGGAGTAAATACCATCTCTAAAGTAAACACTGGACTACAAATAAAAGAAAGATAAATTATACCTGCTGTGAATACTGTGGTGGGTTATCAGATTGCAAGCTTCTGTACTGGCCTGACAAGTTGCGTGTGTGGGACTTTTTGGTGGCCGGAGGTGGCGGTAGCTGTCCAGTTGGTTGTGACAGGGCAGGAGGAGGCCCTGTGCGACATGTTGGGGTGGCATTGCTGTTGCTGTTATTAGTCACTGGACACACACTGCATTACAAGAAAAAGATACAAGTATCACAAGTGAATTTTGACTAAATTTTCAAGTGTTAATGTTGTAAAGTTATTCCTCTCTCATTGAATTTAGTTCTTACAAAGAATTAAGAATTAGTACACTGTTTATCAAATATTTTTATGACTTGATTAATTTATTTTTTGTCTATATTGAAATATACGAAACTAAAATCAAAAAGAAAAATGACTGATTAATGCAATTATCTTTGTATGTTTTACTAAAACAATGGATTGCATTACTTGTCTTCTAAGCTAGTAAGATTGAGTTTGAGCCTTGTTGATCAGTTTATCAATCTGGACTTTGGTTAGAACTGACCTTGATCAACAAATACCCTCCTATAAATGAATTCAAACCATTCTTGTTGTACATTTAGTATGTTTATTAACTGCCACCTTAATTATAAAAAAAAAGAAAAATAAATAAAAATAAAGTTTGTTTTTAGTCAAATAATGTTTTGATTGTATGGCATGAAAAGAATTTTGCCATTCACTTCCAATAATAAAGTCACTTATCTAAATTTCACCTTACATAAGTACATCACATGTCTGTAACAAAAAAAAAAAAAAAAAAAAAAAAAATTAATTTTCAGCATAATTTCTTACCTTATCAAAGTGCAGATTGAATATTAGAATATAAATTTAGTGGTGAATATTATCAAATATTGGTCAAAATTTAGCTAATAAGTGTGACAGGGTATGGACTTGAGAAAGCAAAGCTATAAAACTATTTCTTTCTAAACTAATTTGTTAATAAAAACAGAAAAGATGTTTCAGGAGAAGTGCTCGATTTTGTAATAGTTGAAAAAAAGAGAAAAGATATTTGGCCAGGTATTTCAACAAGTAAAACTTAATAATGGGATCAACTAAAACTTGGAATAGAAGAGTAATTCTTTCTTCAATTAAATCATAGCAATTGCTTACAGTACTCGTAACTAAAAAGAATCCATTCATTTGAGTTACAATTTCTACCAAGTTTTAACATTCTTCCTTCTGAATGATTAATATCACATAAAACTTTTCTGATTGTATATATTTTCTTTCACTGATATTTCATAAGCTTTTAATAAAAATTATAAACACTCTTCTTCCAATTGAAAATGTATATTCTATCTCTCTGTAAAACAATTTCTTTCCTGTTTGTTTGTATTAGTCTCTCAAGTCTGGCACATTACAGGTTAATTCTACAAATATTTCTCTTGATAC